TTTTAATTTAAGTTTTAAAGGTTTAAAATATTTTTTTTATTTTAAGAAGTAAAAAATAAAAAACGAATTGGAGAACCAAAATGATCCAAATTTTAGATACTATCTATTTTCGTTCAAAAGAACGTAGAATAATCAGATTGGTATAGTGAAATAAAATTCAAATTTATGTTAAAACAGACGTATAATATTTAATCATATTTTTTTTATGATATATATATATATATATATATATATTTGTTTTTAGAAATGAGTGATGATATATGTAAAACCATATCAAATAATAGACCCATATTATTAAAATAATTTTGAATAAATAAAAGAGAATTAAAATTTAATATTATATTATTCAATGAAGTTTATGAGTGTTAAAATAGATCATGGGTCGGTCCTAAAAATAAGTTAGACTAGATAAAATATTTGGGCTCTTGTTTCATGCACCTTCATAATTTTTTCCTCCACCCCAAGTCAAATATTTAAAATATCCTTCCTATAATTTTGTTTTTTACCCTAACTTCTTCTTCTACTATTTATGCATAATTTCTGCACCTCCATCTTTTGATTACTTGATTTTTTTTTTGTTATCACTTCCATTAAAGATATTGTCTAACCATTAAAGGTAAGTAATCATTAATATTTAAGTATGAATTATATGTTCCTGCAGTCAAATTGTAGAAACATATCTCAATTGTTCAATGTGAAATAGTGTCGCAAAAATAAGGTTAAATTTCAAAAAAGTCAATCTGAAAAAATATTTTGGATTGAGTGTTCCAAAATATTTTTCTAGAAAGGGCAATCTGAAAATATATTCTGGATTGGGTGTTCCAGAATGTGTTTCCAGAAAAGTTAATTCAAAAATACATTCATGAACACCAAATCTGGAATACATTTCCAAGTTGTCCTTTCCAGAAACGTATTCTAGATTAGTCTTTCCGGAATTCATTTCTGAAACACATTCTGAATTGAGTGTACTGGAATGTGTTTTCGAAAAAACCTTTTCGAAATGCATTTCGAGGATAAAGATAAGTGTAAGGGTAAAATAAGATTTAAAATAATTATGGGGATGCAAGAAGAAATTATAGGGGTGCAAGAAGTAACACACAAAATTTTGCCGCTTAAATTGAATAAGACCTTTTTAAGCTTAGTTTATTCAATTCATGACCTATATGAACTTAGGTCAAACTCATTCGTAGGCTTATGTGTATGCCTATTTTATAGAATAATAATAATTTTTTTAATAAAAATAAAAGTAATATTATTTTATTAATATATATATATATATATATATATATATATATATATTAAAAATTAATTTGATAAAGTAACTTTTTGAAAATCACTTACTTCAAAATTTAATGATTAAAATTAATTATTATTTTAATTTAATAAATTATTAAAAAATGAATTATTAGAATGAAAAGTAAGTTTTTAATTCTTATTTTGAGATTGAATATATCTATCTTTTTATAATTTATATATTAAATTATTATATCTTAAATAAAAATTAATTTTATTAATATAATTTAAATTTTAAAATATTTTTTATTTAAATAATTTTAATTAATTATTTTGGTATAGACACATTAATAATTTTTTAATTTTTAATTAGATCAAAATTAACTTGTTAGCTCATTAACCTAACATAACACCAAATTAGGATAAAAGTTATGGTCCATTTTTTAATATAGATATGGATCATTAACATTTTTTTTAACCTAATCTGTAAGGCCAAGTTAGGTTAGATCTCTTGTTTGGTGAATTTTTTTCTCTTTAAAAGAATGGTAAAATCTACCATTTTTATTTTAAATATTCTTACAAAAAAGTTATAATAATGAATAAGTTTAACAAGGTTGGTTGATGAAGTCGGACAAGTCAATTTAAAAGATTATCGTTTTAGAATGTATTAAGATGAGTTCTACAAAATGCTAAAAATAGAGGTAGAGGGAGATCTACCTGTAAAAACATTCTAATGCTTAAGTCAGTATAAGAATAGAAGAATAGAGATAACAATAAACGTTCTATAAGAGAATAAGATATTTTGTAGAAAGTAGAGTGATCCTATTTATATGCCTCTCAAAAAGATATTTTAGGTAATAAAAGATATTTTGTAGTCTCAAAAGGATATTCTAGGTAATAAATTATACATATTTTCATGCTAATAATTATTCTTTAAATGTAATATTATATATAACTCGAATAATTAAATATATTAATTGTGCGTTATTATCATAATATCTCAAACTCTCAAATGTAATAAATGTAAAAATATGGGCCTATATATAAACCTCTCAAAGTCTAATTTTAGTATAGACGAATGAATTGATTAAGTAAGTCTCGTATATGAATTTTTATAATACCTATTCGAGCTTATGAGCGAATCATGTTATCCTTTAGTTTATGTGAGTCAATTGATTTTCTCTTTATTTATAGGTGTGACCAATTTGATTCAATGACTACACATTTTTTTTGTTAACAAATATTAAGTTATATTTTATTTAAAATAACAATTTATAAAATATCATTAAGAGTGAGATGAGTTTGATTTAGAAGAATGATCTATGTGTGCTAGATGTAAACCTATGACTAAGGTGTGCTTGAGCAGTGGCAGATCTTCTTGGGAGTTGAGGGGGCTGTGGCCCCCCCAAAGTTTTGTAACTCCCATATAATTTATGATTTTGACCCCCCCAAATTTAATGAACATTTAATATATTTACTTGTATATTTACAATTTTATCCTCCCAGCCCCTCCTCAGTTTTGTAACTCTCATAATTTATAATTTTGTCCCCCTTAAACTTAATGGTCATTTAATATATTTAAGTATATATTTACAATTTTATCCTTTCACCCTTTCATCTTCTTACTTCATTTTATATTTATTTATTATTTATTAATAATATATTATTTGGCCCCTCCAAGATGAATGGTCAAGATCCGCTACTTGTACTTGAGGTAAAGTTATGACTGAGATGAAGAGGACAATCATATTTACTTATAGATGAAATGTTCTTTTAATAATAATAAAAAACTTGATGATTAAAATAATATATTTGATTAGTGATATTAAGTTTTATGATAAGTATGTTTTTAGATTTAATGATTTAGTGATTTAACATATAACATTTATCTCAATTATAGTATATTTTTAGATGAATTGCATTTTATGTCCATGTGTGTGAACTCATTCTTCAACAAGTCTGACTTGGGGATCTGAATAAGACTAGACCCATAAAATCATTTTGTTTAGGATCATGTGAGCTGAAATCATTATCAATGAAGGTAATTAGAAGCAATGTTCTCAGTTTGAGTGACCAAATTATGTTGAACCTTGAATAAATTGATCTAAAGAGGAAGTTCGGATAAGATCCACTATGATGTTTCCGAGTTTTCTATAGTTTTTAGTGGTGTGGGAAAAATTTTGATGTCATAAACCTTGTTTTGTTCGATCTACATATGAGGGTTGATAAGTTCCGAGTTGTATGCTTTTCGTAGGATGGTTTCAACATTAGCATTTAAGGGTGTGGATTTTTTTTCCTTCATGGTTTTCATCTTATCTAAATCTTTTGTCCAAGTTGTATAATGAACCCTCTCTTTCTTAATCTCTTTTTTTCTTAGGTTCAATATTTTCTTCTAGTTGTATGAACTTGGAGGTCTAAGTTTTGAGTTCTTTTAAAGACTTCGAATAATTTATGTATAGACTATCCAAAAATGGTCATTGCCTTAAACTTCCTATCATGGTGTGGATGATTAGATTAGAGGAAAAGTTATATATGGTGAGACCTATCTTAATAAATCATTCAATGAATTTTCTTAAAGATTTTTTTTTTCTGGTCTTAACTAGTGGAAAAGTAAAAGAGGTTGGTTGATGTAGTCGTGTGACTACTAAGTTAACTTTGAACTTTTGAGTCAATATTTCAAAGGATTTTATTGACTTGGTAGGTATATTATATAACCACTTAAGCTTTACCCTCTTCAAAGGCATAGAAAAAACTTATAGAAATACATCATTCCCATATAATACATTAATAACCTCTCTCTAGAAAAGGTTGTTCACATGGTAGGTAATGCTTCCGCCAAAATTATGAGAATAAGGGACTGTTGAGTTTCAATTTTGGTTATTGTCAAACATGATGACTAAGTTTTAACTTTGATTTTCCTTGGACATGATGAAAATCAAATTTCTTCTCACTTAATCTGGACTTAGTTCGAGCATCTCTTCAAGTAGGCCCATCCTCAGTGGGAACATCTCCTTCGGGCGTGACAATTAATATAATGATTAAGACTAGGACCTTGAGGAAGTGTAGTATCTTGGAAGTGGCAATTAATACCACAACTAGAATTGATATCTTGATAAAGTATGATATCTCAAGGGAGATCATGTTAAAGCACCCAACTCTTTTTCTACTTTTGCATTCCTTCTGAAGGAATTCATCTCTTCCTTGTTCTTTCATTCAATTCTTTTGAGTTCTGCATGAACATTTTCTTCATTCTTTCTTTGAATTTCCTCCACATTAGATTTCAAGCTATTGATAACATCTTTGACCTTCGTCTTGTTGCTTTGGCAAATTAATCACTAATTGATAGAGTGTGACCTGAATATATTTCACCAAACTTCAGAATAGACATCAAATGTTCTTACAAAAATTTTACAATAATAAATAAGTTCGACAAAGCCGATCAATGAACTCGGACAAATCGGTTTCAATAATTGTCATCTTTAGACTCTACTGGATTTTACTCTACTTTGATCACTCTATCTAATATCAATTAGTTTTAAATTAAAATATCATATAATATCATAACACGGTTAGTTTCATTTTTTTAGTAGTCATCTTCTTAGTCAAAGATATTGGAAAGACTTCAAATGGTCCTTAGTCCACATAGATATCATGGAGAATTCTCTCTTGACTTACTTCAATTCTCCGCATGTGGCTTATATGTATTCCTTGCTTATAAACTCGGGCACTAATTGTCAAATATAGCTGCAAAAGACCGTACATTCAGTTTACTGAAACAAGGAAATAAGACTTGGTATCTCCGATAGGTGTAATGTGGCTCTCATTGGAGTGATTCGAAAGAATGTCTCTTGAAGCTTTCTCAGTTTCTGAACAGCATCTCTAATGTCAATGCGTTCATCTGGGTTATCTGCAGTGCAAGATATGGCTACTCCTATTATTGCATCCACACAACACACTTGTAGGTTATTTGGTCCTTCTGAAGGGTCATCATGCAAAATTAGGGACACCAACTGAGGGTCAATGGCTTCCACTGTCTTGTCTTTCAATGCTGAATGCATCCATCTTCTTATGCTTAGGCCTCCTGTAAAACACTCATCTGTAGGGCTTTTCCCAGATAAGAGCTCCATTAACACTATACCAAAACTATATACATCTCCAGCTGCACATGCTTTCTCTCCCCATCCATATTCTGCATTGCAAAAATAACCATAATATTTTTTTAATTCATGATTCACAGTTTTTCATTAAATTAAAAGGTTATATTGGAATATGCATTAACCTGGAGGTATGTAACCAATAGAGCCCCTAAGGAGATGAGTGAAGCTAATGGAAGCTTCGTTAGTTGATCTCTGAATAAGCAACCTAGCCAATCCAAAGTCTCCAACCTTTGCTGTCATGTCTGCGTCCAGTAGAATGTTGCTAGGCTTCAAATCACAGTGCACAACTGGGATTTCAATGTCATTGTGCAGGTAATCCAATGCACATGCAACATCTATTGCTATATTCAGTCTCTCCATAAGGTTCAACCCATTTCCGTTTGCATGTTTTCTCCTCCCCTTAATCCAATCTTCCAAGTTACCATTACACAGATACTCATACACCAGTGCTCGAAAGTCATTGTTTTTGAAGTCAACACTAGAGCATGATGTGATGAGCTTGACCAGATTTCGATGCCTTATGTTCTTCATAGCCTCGCATTCTGCAAAGAAACTCTTTAAAGAGTCAGTTCTTAGGGTCTCAAGAACTTTCACTGCAACAGTAGTTCCATGACTTAGATTGCCTTTGTAAACTGACCCAAAACTCCCAACTCCTAATAAGTTTTCCTGGTTGAACTCCTCAGTTGCCAAACGAAGCTCATCATAAGAGATCATTGGTGCAAGAGGTTTTATCTGTTCAGATGCTGCTGCTGCTACCTTTACCTTTCTGCTCTTTATATATAGTAGTGAGCCAATTGTGAGACACAGTACTAATGCTACTATAATGGCTATGATGATATAATGTCTTACATTTTTTCTTCCTTGGCCACGATTCACACATGGGATTTGCAAGCAGAGGTTTTCATTGCCTTCTAGACGGACAGCAGAGAGATTTTGGAAAACTCCACCACTAGGAATGGCTCCTTCTAAATCATTGTACGCGAGGTTTAAGAGCTTAAGCGCCTGTAAATTTTGAAGTTCAACAGGAATGGTTCCAGAGAGTTGGTTGGAGGATAGGTCCAAAGTTTCCAAGCCTCTCAGTTCTCCAAGAGCCTTTGGAATGGAACCTGAAAGCTGATTCCTGGTCAAAAACAAAATTTCCAAGCTGAGACAATTGCCGAATGAGCTGGGGATGCCACCATACAATTGGTTGCTAGAAAAGTCAATGGAGGCAACACCACTCAATCTCCCAATTTGAGGTATTGATCCACTCAAATAGTTCATTGACAAGTTCAAAACATTGCTCAAACTTGGGAGATTGAGGATTTCCATAGGAATGCTTCCATTGAGTTGGTTGCTTGATAAGTCCATGTAAAGCAGTCTTCGAAAATTCCCAAAACTGGTCCGTATCCTCCCCACAAGCCTGTTTCCTGACAAGTCAATCAGGTTTAACATGAGGAGATTACCTAGGGAATCTGGAATAACCCCTGATATCTCATTTCCAGCCAGAGATAGTTCTTGTAGTTCCGCTAACTGGCCTAACTCATGTGGGATTTCTCCAGAGAATTTATTGTAGCTTAAGTTTAACAACTGCAAGCCACTAAGACGACCAATGGAGGGGGGTATGCTTCCATTTAAACGATTCTGTCCCATGTAAAATGTTGACAGATCCTTGGAGAGATTGCCAATGGTTTCTGGAATCACACCTTCCAACATGTTTCCACCAATTGACAGAAAGTTGAGGTGAGTACTGTTTGTCAAGGAAGTAATGAAGTCTAAACCTCTGACACCTGAACTCACTAACGAATTATAACCAATATTAAACAAGCGAAGAAATGGGAGATTTCCCAAACCAGGTGGCACGGTTCCTTCCAAAAAGTTGGAAGCCATGCCAATGACCCTAATGTTGGTGAGGTTGTGCAAAGACCCTGGAATTCCACCTGTGAAATAATTGAAGCAGATATTGAACTCTGTAAGTTTTGGAAGCTTGTGACCAATATCCTGAGGAATCTCACCCCACAAAGAGTTTGAAGGTAAGGCAAATTTAACAAGGGAAGACAAGTTGTATATAACAGGTGGAACAACCCCATTGAGATTGTTAAGAGTGAGATCAAGCTCAACCAAAACATGCAACCTAGCCAAGTCACTGGGAATCCAGCCAGTGAGAAAGTTGGTGCCAAAACTGATATTTTTGAGAGAAGAAATATTTCCCAGAGATGCTGGGATTTCACCATAGAGGCTATTCCTTCCCAGTTTCAAAACCTCAAGCCTTTTTAAGCTGCTGATATCTTCAGGAATCTTGCTTACAATCTTGTTTGACGATAAATCAAGAATCTGGAGCTCATTCAAGTGGGTGAAGTTTGAAGGAAGCTTTCCTTCTAACATGTTAGAGCTCATATTTAGGACTCTCAAACTGAATAGGTTGCCAATTTGGTCAGGAATCACTCCTCTAAGTTGGTTATTCTGCAAATGGAGTGACTTGAGAGAGGAGAGATTACCAATATAAGGACTTAAGTGACCTGATAGTTTCAAGCCTGAAAGATCCAAGCCTGTAACTCTTTGGCCAAGCCTGTCACATTGGACACCAGTCCAATTGCAAGGGGATGAATTATGGTTCCAAGAATATAGGGGATTAAGAGTGTCTTTTGTCAGTTGAGACTTGAATGAGATCAAGGCTTCTGTGTCTGTGGTGATGCTTAAAGGGGCTGATGATACACCAACCAAAAGGTAGTGTAACGGAAGCTGGAGGAGGATGAGTAAGATAAAATGAACAAGTAATTGAGAGGACAAAGTCATACTTAGCTTCTTTGGCTTGTTTTTGATTTTCATTTCCTACTCAGACGTGTATTTATAATGGTCCAAATGCTGCTGCAGCAGCCATGCAAGGATGCTTCCTTCTTCTCTTTGATTACCAACTCTTTTGAAAAAAATGTTATTTGTCCACTAATATTCATACAATAATAAAAAAATGAATTAAGTTGATTGTTTCTTTCCATTTCAAGAACTACATGTAATATTGTTTTTATTCTATGTATGAGCCAAGGTGAAGAATAGTACATCAGTATATAAAATACTGCTACCTTACTGAACGTGATAGCCGAACTAACGTGATCAAATGTCTTCAATTTGAAAAATCTTATATTTTGAAAGACTAAATGTGTAATATCTTATATTTCTGTCGACTAAAATATTGATTTATTAATCAAATCCGTATGAACCTTGAAAAAAGAGTTAGTACTTTCAAAGTTGAAAAAGAGTTCATTGAAATTGATGACATTAGATTTTAGGTTTTGAATTTTTTTTCCAACCTCCTGTAGTAGTAGAAGTGTCATGCCAAAGCACACCACTCTTAATTTTCTTATAGGATGCATTTGTTATTATTTTCGGATAAGATGTTTAATTTTTTTAAATAAATAATTTTGTTAATGAAAAGTCAGTAAGACGACACATCATAAGTAATTTAATGGTTTTTTAACAGAGTTAGACTATACAAAACTAAAAATAAAAATTTTAAAAATGATTCTGATTTTCTTGTTACAGAAACAAAAGAGAAAACACTTTAAATTACTGGAGTAAAAAAACACAATTAAACCTAGAATTAAAGATTGGGTGAAAAAGTTACTTTGAACAAATAGTTGATGTGTAATATTGATTTGAAGGCTGGAAAATGTGTTGGCCTTTGGTTGGACCTTGTAAGATATGTTGGAAGTGATTCCGGTGTCATTAGGGAACAGAATTGGACTAGTCTACTTGTTTTGAATGGTTTAAAACAGAAGTAGGGTTTCCAAGACTTCAATGAAAATTCTGCAATTTTTTTTATCAGTATGAATTGAATAAGTCTTCAGCATGTATCATAAATTTTAACTCATATATTCGTCACTGTGCGTCTATTTTTTTTTTTTTTATCACTGATCTCAAGAGAGAAAAAGCAGTCATTTATTTATCCTTGCACATAAAATTTTAAAACAATATCAATTATTATCAACTATTGGTTCTTTTAATTAATCATTCTCAACATTGTCATTTTTTTTTCTATCGAATATGGAAACCCATTTCACACACCAATCATATAACTAGTAAAAAAAAAAACAATTATTTCAAATGTTTCATTCAATCTTATATTCTTTTATCTCCACTTTTGAATTGAATTTCAATTTTTTTAAATTATTAATAATTAAATAACAACTTAAATTGTTCATTATAAACTCAATTACAACATATATTAAATAATATTTATTTATCACGAATTATATTACAAATATAATACATATATCATATAGTTAATTATTATGATTTTAATTATATAAAAAATATATATTATTTACGAACAAATTAAAACATTTTCAAGTTTGATGAGGAAAAGAAAAACACATTGATAGTCATTACATATGAAACATGATAGATATGTGGCTTAGCTTAAAAAAAAAGATTCATAATATATCATTGATTTTTATAAAGTATTTAATAAATTTTTCCCTTAAATTGAATACCTAACAAAGTAACATTTTAAATTAAATCCCTTTTATTACTTACATCAATTATACTTTAACGATATGTCATTATATGATTATAAAATGTTATAGTATAATAATATTGAGGGACAAAAGAAAAAAAATTGAAATATTAAACAAGAATAAATACAAATAAATGTCATTTAAAAACTTAAACAAATCTTTTTTAATTTAATAAGTAATCAGTTTTAAAATAATTATCTGGTACTCAACAAAAAGTATTCATATATTTCATTTAAGTGTATATTTTTTATTTGTTTAGATCCCATCCTTTCACGAATCTAATCATGTAACTATATATACTTGTATGACTAATACTGAATATTCACCTTTTATACAAAATGTATATACTTCATGTAAAATCAATACAAGGTATTCAAATAATATTCATTTTCAACTACCACATGATATACGTTATTCAAAAATAAAATAAAAATGAAATAAAATGTCTTATTTTTATCTTTACTGTTCATATAGGGCATGAAAAATATATTTATATTATGACTTAATATCTAAAAAATAAAATAAAACTGAAATAAAAGAATACAAATTGGCATTTTGAATTTTCTACCAGTCAATAACTCCGCAGCAGCACATCATTGATCAATAACAAAAATTAATTTTACTGACAATACATTAAAATTAAACTGCAGAACATTATATACATTGCAGAAACTACATTGCCCCAAAGCAGACAAGACTCAAGGCTTCCACAACTTCATTGTGCAGTCTTCACTAAATGTTGCAACAAGATTCCTATGGGGATGGTGAACTACACCTATAACTTCCTTCTCATGGACCTGCCATTGGCCACAGAATTTCATTAGATCATATATAAATTTATTTATCACGATAACAACCTCAGTGGAGAAAAAGCATATTTGCATGGGAACAGAGAATGCAGAACGTATTATCTGAAGAAATGAGCTTCAATGCATGAAAAGACAGAATGAGAAACAGGCCAATTCCGGTTCTAGTTAGTATTTGCAAAGTGTACACAAATTCCCAGTTTTAACACGAGATTCAACAAGATAAATGTGGCAAATACGCATAGTCTATAATATTCACAATCTATTTTCATAGTCTGATATGCAGTCTGAAACTTGCATCTAATATCAAATTCAGACTGTATCATCTGATACACCTTATCTGGCTCTGATTTTATTTTTTCAACCGAGTCTTATCCCTCTTTCACATGCAATATTGAAACAAAAAAATATTTATGGAAATTGAGACCAATTTGAAACAAATTTATAGATCTAATCCTCAGATTAATTCAATATACATACCTTCATCAGATGCTCCAATTTTCCAGATTGATAGCTGAAGCAGTACATATTCCTGCATTCAATTTGCCATCCCATTAAGAATTTAACGCTTTTTGGAAAAATATTTGGAGGGTTAGAAAAACCATGAAGGAGTTACTAATTTGGAAAACATTCAGAATATTACTGTAAAATTACCAATTTGAAAACATCGTCAAGAAGTTACTGTATTCGGTCAATTGTGCTTGAGGAATATGGGAAAATATATTCATAAAGCACACATGACGTAGTTTCCATAATTTATTTAAAATTTTTGTCTACCAGATTACATGAAGGAGCTGTCATATTATACATAAATCAGGATACCTGTCTTCACCAACACAGTAAATCCATTCTCCTTTAGGTGAAACACAGGCTGCAGCAAAGTCTCCGCCCTCTCTTTTACCAGATGAAAAGCTCTTTACAACCTATCAATTGACAGAGAAAAGCAGGCTCAGAAATAAAGCTCAAGATTAATACCATGCAGCTACACCCTAACACGCTGTTACAACACTTCATTTATTTTAAAAACAGATGAAAAGAATGAAGCCCAAGCTTCTACAGTCCACATAAGTAATGTCTATACTCCACCAGCATGACAATTAGAACTTATCCTTGTCAGATCAAACACAATTCATTAAGAAAGACAATGCAACATCCTAAATATTAATATCAATACACTAATGGATTAGGTATAAACAAAATAATTTCCAGTCATCTCTACTCTTTTATGCATACCTGTCCTTGAAGTGTCATGATATATATGGATGACGTTTTGTTACAAACGACAATGTGATCAGTATTCTTGGGGAAAATGTGAACAGAATTGACTGAAGCATCACCTCCCTAAAATCAGAAATCAGGCAAATAAACAAAATTGTTGAGATGACATCAGAAAATTGAATAGCAAAAACTCATAATAGTATATTTTTTAAGACACACCCTTAAAGGAGGAGGTGGCTTAAAAGTTTGTATGCAGTCTGTAGTCTTCACATCCCAGACCTACAATAAGGAGGAAAAACACATCTCTTATGAACGCTGGATAAATATGGAACTTCAAGTACAGTGCCAAATAATTGACCTTGATCGTACAGTCACTTGAGGCAGTAATCACACGACTCCCGTCATGTGTAAAAGTTGCATCATTCACATAAGATGTATGGCCACGAAACTCTTTCAACATCTTTCCAGATTTGAGGCCGTGGATCCTACGTTTTAAAAGAATAACCTTTTCACTCACCAGTAGCAAACATTTTATTAAATCATTTGATAATGTTAATATATAGAAAAAAGTAAACTATATGGCAGTACTAAAGATTCGCAGGAGTTGGACTGGAGAGCAGCACAGAAATGAGTAATTTCAATTGACAGAGGTCTAACTCCCCTTACAAGGTTCGGATGAAGAATGAAGAAGAGATTTTAAGGAGGAAATAAAGGAAAAGGGATGTCTCTCTTGACAATGAGAATGACAATTATGTGTGTGTTTTATAGTTAGAACACATTCCAATGCAACTGATCGGAAAAGCATGTAAGAGGATGAATTGGCTTTTACAAGTTTGAGCCTTCCCAACTGAAATCCAAATATACTGTATCTTGGGGGAAAGGAGAAAGAGTGATTTTGTTTGGTTTAACTTACTTCAGAGAAATAACTGCTGCTTATTTTCTAACTTCCTGAGATAGCTTTAAAAAGAACACATGAAAATTATTAATAAACAAGGACTGGGTTTTTAATTCATTTACTTGGTGTACTATTTTGTAAGAACCTTGTGCTATGATGCTTATGACTTGACTTTAATAATTATGTTATGTTCATGTATTTAACTTGCATTAGATTGAAGTTTTCCTTTAATTTCGTGATCCTTTTCGGGATCTACAAAATGTTTCAAAATGTATTTATTGTTCTTGATAATTATCCTATTAGTGTTGGATATAAAACCATTCCCGTGCTTTCACCAAACAGCTTAAACTTCTAATGTTTCCATCTAACAACTTAAACTTCTATTGTTTCCACCTAACAACTTAAACTTCTATTGTTTCCCCAAAGCAACTTAAACTTCTCCTGTTCATAATATGGCAGTAGACCCTTATGATGTCTAGAATTCAATCCTTAATGTCCAGTTCTTCTAACTAAAAGTTAAATTCTACATCGTCTACACTTCAAAATGTATTGTTCTTGATAATTATGCTATTAGTGTTGGATATAAAACCATTCCCGTGCTTTCACCAAACAGCTTAAACTTCTAATGTTTCCACCTAAAAACTTTAACTTCTACTGTTTCCCCCTAGCAACTTAAACTTTTCCTGTTCATAATATGGCAGTAGACCTTTATGATGTCTAGAATTCAATCCCTACTGTCCAGTTCTTCTAACTAAAAGTTAAATTCTACATCATCTACACTTCAAGCCCAGAGATATCTAATGTTATGCAGCTTGTTAGGTATAAAACAATCATGTTTCATCAACCATTTTAACCCTTCGGGATAGTTGGTTCATGACAATTATATTAGGTAGATTGAACTCAACATTTACAAATTATAATGCCAACTTCTAATCATTTGGTCATTCATGCTCTGCTTGTTAACATGTTAAAAGAGTCTCTGAAGCTTATAAAATTTGTCAGTTCAACTCATGGGCTATAATAGGTTATCTCTAACAAGACATAGTAAGATGAGTAAAATTAAATGGCAAAACCTTGCTGTGCTATCAAATGAAGTGCTTAATAACTGGCTTCCATCACGAGAGAAGGAAACGCTGGTGACACCTTGGGAATGAGCCCGTTCAAGACGCCGCAAGCACTGGCCAGTCCTAATACGCCAGACCTAAAATGAAATGTAAAATATACAGTTTTAAGTTTCACATATAACAGTTGAGTTGAAAACAAACACTTCCAAAAACAGCAATCACAACATCAACACTGAAACCAGTAAATATTCAAGGAACACATGATCCATTTAACAAGACAAAGTAGGACCATGTACATTAATAAACACAAATCACAGCATTAGAACTGTTTAGGCATAATTACATTGTTTCGTAGTAATTATAGTCTCCAAAAAGTTTATTTTAACTTGCATAAACTAATTTTCTTCTTTTATACATGTTTATGGAAACATTTATCCCAACAAGGTCATGCTAAAAGTTAACCATTATTTGTTTTGTTCACAATTTTTTTACCAATATATCCAAGTTCCCGATCATGTGAATGGTGGTAATCAGAAACCTTTTCAATTTTCAAGACCCCACACCCTTATTTTATCACGACCTTTTTCACTTAGTTGCACAATTTGAAACTATTCACTACTCAACCATGCTCCATGGGAATACAATGCACAATTCACCAACTGAATTCTGCTCGATAGCTCAAATCTATTTCACAGAAATATTGAAGTGCTGTGCACACCTTGAAAAACACACACACAGTGTGTGTAGAAAATCAAGAATATAAGAATTTCTTAAGGTTGGCTCATGCAGCCTTAAATGCAGACATGTATTACTCACTTTAATCTTTCCATCTTGAGACCCAGACGCAAGCATTTCTGAATCTCTGCTAAAGTCTACACAAAGCACCGCATCATCATGCATCATAAACACTTCCTGCAAGTTCATGGAATCAGAAAATGTGTAAGGGAAAGACTTATTGTACACTAAGAAAATTCCTTTCAGAAGTGACTGATAAAATTTTATGTATAACTAAAAATTAGTAGCTATATTAAACACATTCATGTCAATAACAGTATTAAAACTCTAACAAAACATAAATCAACCAGATATGTTGATATATTTACTGAACACAAAGTGAGGAATCAAAACAAGCCATTGCATCATGAAAGAGAATACAATTGCATGAGTAAAACGTGTAACATATAGGCATAGATTTATATATACTACAAATACAATACCACAATGACAACAGAGATCTTTGTATGAAATATCTTTGCTACAGCTTTGAATGCAAATATAAATGTAAAGGTACGTAGAGAAAGGGCTGGGCAATCTCGGGGCAAAGTATATATTACAAAGGAAATAATTTGGCCAAACATCTATTCCAAATTCATAGACTATCATATACAAGACATTTTATTATTAAAAGGTAAAACTGTTCAAAATAAAACTCACTCACTTCAGCTTGGTACTGAAGATCTTTCTTCAGCTTTCCACTTATGTAATCCCACACCTAAAAATGTCCAAAAATTCAGGAAAAAAGTAACTGAAAAGGAAGCATTCAAATACAATTTATGTAACCCCACACCTAGAAATATGACCAAAAGAACTAGAAGAAAGCAGCTGAAAATGAAACCTTATACTCAAATTATGAATACCTCAATAAACCCATCAACAGAGCACGATACGAGAAACTGCCCATCTGGTGAAAAGCAAGCACATTCTGCATGACTTTTAGTCCCAAACTAAACAAGCACATAAGCAGACATGAAATAGAAGGGTTAGATTATGAACGCAAACACGCTTGATTCTGTAGCATATAGTCTGTTGGATCTGTGCCGTATAAAAAATAATTTTCAGCACAAGCCCACAGGAAATCAAGGGTTCTGCATTTTTTTTTTCTGTCTCCTTCAGTGGTGTGGCATCTCATCTCCAGTAAAATATAACTGAAACAATGCCTTAAATATGGATAATAATATACCTTTATCGTGTGAGAAAGAGCTGTTGGATACATGTCATCCACATCTTGTTTCATAGCAGCTGTTCCACGAAACAAATCAAACTGTGTTCCTGGAGGAAGCAACCCTGAGAGAGAACCCAAAGGAAAGCATTGCTCAGTCAAGATGTAAAGAATAAATTTTTCTATAATTAGCATCATCGGAACAATACATTTATCATCTCTAGCAATGGAAAATTCAACCTAGTCAAGATGTAAAGATATAAATTTTTCTATAATTAGCATCATGTGAACTATACATATATTATCTCTAGCAATGGAAAATTCAACCTAGCATAATAAGCACAACTTAGGTGGTTACGCCATATCACCAAGTGGTGCAAGACTAAACACCCCTCACACCCAGCACAGATAAGGTGCTGGAGGCTGCAATGAAGGTGGCCCAAATTGACCACAAAGAAGCCATAAGGTGACCACAGTTAAAGTGGCCATCGAACAACAAGTTTCTTTTCTGCTTAGTTTATTATTAGAGAAATGAAAGATGCATCATGCATCCATAAAACTGTAATTTGAAAATTGAATTCATTCCTAACATTTTAAGTTGAAGTTTGTACAGGTTACCAAGCCAAAATACAAAAATGACAAATAGTGAATTCAATTTAGAAACACAGTGAATTGCATTAAGATTCATAAGAAAAACAATTTGTAAGCAGATGATCACCATGACAATGAATCTTAGTTTTCAAAACCATCAAAGTAATTACCTTGATGCTGCTGCCACTTCAAAGATTGACCAATTAAAGCCATCAATCGGGATGGTGGCACTACAGTAACTTCTGCTGCAAGACCTGAAAATACAAGGATGGCGAAGTTCTTAAAGTAAAAACCAAGCAAAAAAAAATGAAGTTCATTTCAAATCAAGAAAGATATTCAATACGATAAAAAAAAAGTATCACAACTTGATAGTGACAACTACAAAAGTGAAGGACAAAAACCTTGGGCTATCTGTGCACGTCGCCTCTCTTTTGTTGAGTCTTGATAAGCCTGTCATATAGGACACAAGTCATGAGCCCTTGGGTAAAGAAACAAACAGAAGGACTTGGCTAGAAATAAAGCCTTGGAAGTTGTCATTATATTCAATTTTTCAAGAACATAATAAGGTTAATGGTTTTTTCAGTCCTTGAAAATTTTCCAAATTTTTGTCTTGGTCCCCAATTTCTAAAACCAATAGTTCCCATTCCTTTATTTTCTAAATGCCCATATACTTTAATCTAACAGCCTCCCCCCCCCCCCCCACCAACTAATTGGGTATTTCAAAAAATATTACATGGACTAAAAACACCATTAACCGATAATAATAATAATAATAATAATAATAATAATAATAATAATAAATAGAAGTATTGGGTTTAGCAAGTTAGACCACTGCCAGGGACTTATATGTGACTTAGCATTCATTTACAAATGCAAGGATATGATTTATGTGCCAAAATAGTTGTACAAGGTAAAATATATTCAAGAAAGTGAACGTTTGAAGCTTAACAAAAGGAGAAAATTTTCATTGTATGATATTATCCCTATTTGAGACTCTTCAAATGCAAGGAACAAAATGAAGATCATCATGTAACTTTCCATTTATCCATGTTCGTTTTTTCAACAAATTTCATAATTCACTAAATTTAAAATAAAAAATTAAGTAATTAACCCCATTCCTTTCGATCCTAAGCTATAAAGAATGAACACTCATCTTGCTTCAAGTTTTTGAGCATCAAACACATCCCAACACCCATACAACACATGTTAGAAACTCCTCATTTTAAATGCTTGGATAATTGACACATTATTAAACACTTAAGCCAACACCTCCATACTAATGGACATTTGAAGGACACTAGTATAGTAGTATTATTAAAAAAAAAATATTAGTATTTTGTTGAACATTTAGAAAAGTCAACTTAAAGTAATATAAATATTAGCAAACAAAGTTTCACAGTATTTCTTGACTTGTTTTTATCATAGGAAAATGAATACACAAGAATATACAAATATTGATTATTATTTTAGATCTTCTACTATTTTGTCTATATCTAACTTCATTTAATGGTGTCCATTGTCCATGTCAGAGTTTGTACTTCATGAATTTAAAGCCCTCCATCCAATCATATACTAAAATAAAAAGAAAAGTAATGATGCAAATGCTTCCTAATCTCTGCTTAAGGCTCATTTATTTATTGAATACTGACTAAACGAAACGCTGACTCTATTAACTACTCAGCTAAGACTCATCGACAGCATAAAGCTCCAACAGAATGTCTTAGAAGAGACTTTCTGCCCTAAAACTTTAGAATACAAAACACATGAAATCTGTTTCATAACTCCTAACAACAATTGCCTTACAGCAGTTATTGTAACCCTGCGTTCTTAAGATTACTGTCACATAATTGCCATGGTCCAAAAAATTACTGCCTCATGGAAATCATTGCACTGAATATGATCCAAAAAGCGTGATCAACTTGCATTTTCTGCTATATGTCCATAAGAATTGAAGATCAATGATGACAGTACTGTAGCAGATTGCAGAAACAAATAGCTTAAAGGGAAATAAAAAATAGGTGGCTTAAGTTAGACAGCATGAAATTGCAAAAATATTAAAGAATTACATGCTAACCTCATTTGGATCAAAATAAGTTCTAACTAGAAGATGCTCAAGTCGCAAATATCTTTCAGGCTGCTCTTGTTTCATTACACCCATAACCTGTGTTTGCCTTAAAATTGCACGAGCAGTATCCAGTTCTCGAAGTTCAATCATTTCTAGTACAATCTGCAACCATGTTTGAAATTTTGAAATATCACTAACTTGATTGGAACAGACATTATTACAGCGATATATAGATCAGGTGATATAGAGTACAAGGCTACATTGTACAAATAGCAAACAGTCAAACACTGCTAAATAAAAGTTCCTAAATATCAAACCATTGGGGAGCAATTGGCCATGCTCCCATAACAATTAAGAAATCCCAATACTTTATCAACTCAATTCTCTTTGAGCCTGATTTGTTAGCATCACTTTCACAGTGGATGGGAAAATTAGATTCCTATAGTATCCAACCTCGTTTGGCAACTATCTAGCTATCTCAAAGATAAATTATTTTTTTTAGCTTACTTCATTGACAATAACTGAATCTGGACGTGAGGCAAGAAAACTTATTATATTTACACTTTATAAGTGTCATCTAACAAAATCAATTCTTCTGAACTCACTCTTAAAATCTCATTCCCAAATACAAAATAACAAATCAATTTTTTTAACCTCAATTCTTCCAAATTCAAATCTTTCAACATCAATGCCTAATTTCCAATCAGAATCTATTCCATCAAAATTAGAACAGATCCTTCATTCCCCTAAAGTAAAGGAGGTTAAAAATTATTACACTGGTAGTATAGCACATTAAATATTACAACGACCCTTAAATTTTCTTTCCTGTTTAAAAATGCCAATCTAAATAAAGGGATCATCAAGTCTTAGGGAGACACCAAATGATTATGCACTTAAAAGCTAGTGAACGAGCAATGCACAAAAAGCAAATGTCATCATATGAGTATCAACAACTCGATATCTACAAGTCCACCGGGAAAATGGCTGCTACTAGCTAAGGCTGACCATAAGCACAGTTAGGTTAGGCAGATTGATTAACAACAACATCCAGCACTTCCTATATCAACAACATCACGTTTATAACTCTCACCAACCTCTATATAAAAAATCCAGCCCATCATTTTAATCTTATTGACCTATTGAAACTGTTCATACAATGGAACGGTCTAAAAGACGTTAAAAAGTCCAAAACCAGCATTGAAAGACTGTGATAAAGCGAATATACAGTTATACACTAAACTGAAGTGTCTGACAAAATACCTGCTCATACAAATCTTCCAATTTATTCCTGGGAAGCTTGAGTTGAGAAACTTGAGGCAATATAGCATCCCATCTCCCACTATTAATATCAGCAACAAAGGTTTCAATGCTGTCAACAGTGTTCAGAGAAACCTGGCATTCATTCTGCAACGTCTGAAAAGTCTGATGCAACGAATTTTCTTTGCAAAACTGAAGCACAATTTTGATGACACTGCGAAGGACAAGAAAAAAATTGACAATAACACAAATAAAAAAAATATTGCGCGACACAAACATTGAACGAGTTTCAATTAGCAATGAACAAAATCGAAACATATGATTTAGTAAACGAAGAAAATTAAATTTCCCGATTTCAAGAATTCGCAAATGAAATACAAATACGGTGGAAAGTATAGAGAAACTTACTCTCGAGCTTCAATTTCGAGGGTAGACATTGCTCCTATATTGGAGTTGCACCACGATGTGTGTGCGTAGGGTTTTACTGCGGATTCAACGAAACCAAGTGCTATCACTTATCAGTTCCAACGTTCTTATTCGGACACAATCATAGTACCAACGTTCTTTTTATTGAACGTGCCCTTGTCAACGATAAACCCTCTTTGCAGATTAATATGGGCCGTGTCAAACCCAATAACCCACATGGTTAGGGTTTATATTTGCTTTGGACCATTACTTCATGTACCTTCGAATTTCTTTTTACACCTCCCCATTACAAATATAATAATCCTTTAAAATTCTTATATTTTTCGGTAAACATACTTAAAAAATATATTAATACCTTTATCTGTCATAATATTGCACATCTCAATTGTGTATTACCAATTATACGTGTATATTGATAATTATAAATATGATTTAAATTAATAAATAGAAAAAAAATAAAGGACATAATAAAATCTTTTAATAAAATAAAAAAAATGTTTTATTTATGCATGAAAAAAGTTTTGACATGTTAAAAAAATAAAGGTAATAAAAAAATTTTAATTACGCATTTTGGAAATATAATGAAAAAATATATTTCAAAAATGAAGAATATGTGATACATCCTGAAATACGTAATTTGAAATTATTTTGAACTTTTTCAATTGATCATCTCAAAACAACTCATAATAAAAATTATAATAATAATATAATAAATAAAAATTAATATTTTAATAATATAATAATAAAGGGGTGATTATGAATGTCCCTTGATGGTGATATACAGGACCACAGAGCATAAAAGACTAACAATGGAGACATACAAAACATTACAAATGATTCATGTTATAATATTGTATTATCAAGAACCACATCTCTCAGAAATATTATAGTTCCAATGGTATTTAAAAAAAATGTATAGTTGACTAATTTTTATTTATATTTTTAAATTTAAAAATAATATTAAAATAGAAATATATTGTAACATTCATCCTGATACCAATAATTTCTTATATTGGAGAGAGATATGGAGTGGTTGAGTTGTATAAAAAGCATTGCTCAACACTACCATCTAGCATGCTAAGAACAAGTTTGTAGCTTGAAATGGATTTTTTCATGCAATATTTGTTCCTTACTTTGATTACCATGATTGCATCTGTCTATGTTTTGCAGAAAAGAGGCACTAAAACCTTGCCTCCTGGGAGCTTTGGGTGGCCCCTGGTGGGTGAAACCTACCAATTTTTGTTCATCAAGATTGAACATTTCATTCAAGAGAGGGTGAACAAGTACTCCTCAGAGATCTTCCGCACATCCATTCTAGGAGAGCCAACAGTGGTTCTTTGTGGTCCTGGAGCAAACAAATTTGTCTCCACCAATGAGACAAAGCTTGTGGAAGTTTGGTACATGAAGACTCAGCGCAGGTTGTTCAATATTCCTGATCGAACTCATGGAGCAAAGCCAAAACCAAAACCAAAGCAAGAAGCTGCATCTGCTGCTCCAGTGAAGAGCTTGGGGATTCTGAAACCTGAGGGAATAGCAAGGTACATGGGGAACATGATTGAATCAACCATTCATCAGCATTTCATGACACACTGGGCAGGAAAAACAGAAGTGAAGGTTTACCCTTTGGTGAAGGCCTTTTCCCTCACTCTGGTGTGTCAATTCTTCTTAGGCTTAGATAAACCAATATTGGCCACTGAGTTTGACAACTTACATTCTGGGATCTACTCTGTTCCCGTGAATTTCCCAGGCTCCACATACCGTAGGGCACTGAAGGCTGCAGCTGCAATAAGAGAAGAGATCCAATTTCAGATAAAAGAGAAGATTGATGCTTTCTCCAAGGGGCAAGTTGTAGATGACCTACTAGCACACGTAGTTGGTTCTGAGCAGGGTGGAAAATATGTGCCAAAAATGGCAATAAGCAACATCATCATGGGGTTGATGAATTCCAGCTACATACCAATAGCTATTAATCTGGCTTTCATGATCAAACACATTGGACAAAGGCCTGATATCTACCAAAAAATCGTATCCGGTAATTTAAGATAGTAATTGTACACAGAATTTAAATATAGTTTGTTGCTTAGCTGCTTTTAGTTCAATTCTCCATTCATATTTGTTAACTGTTATTAACCATTTTCTTATGTTTTATTATACAAGTTAAACATAGTGAAACTTTAACTTAAATTCAAAAACATTATTAAAAATAGTTAAGAAAGTGCATCCAAGTTTTGTCTGTGTAAAATATTGTAGCCGCTTTATGGTAGTGTGAGTTAAAATATAGGTTTAAGCCAGGAGAATACAGTCTTTGTTTTTTGGCTTTTCTTTCTGGACTCAAAATGTAAGATTCTTAAACAAAAAGGTTAACATAGAACAGAAAATATTTCTCTCAAAATTATTAATTTATCATACTTTCTTTTATTTGAATCAGAGCATGCTGATGTTACAAAATCCAAAGGATCTGGTACAGCACTAGATTGGGACAGCATGCAGAAACTGAAATACACATGGGCTGTTGCACAGGAGACCATGAGACTCTATCCAACTGCACCCGGTGTATTCAGAGAGGTGTTAACAGACATCACCTATGAAGGTTATACTATTCCAAAGGGGTGGAAGGTACCTTGGTTTAAAGATTGTAGGATATTATTAATTGATAAAGCTTGTAAATTAAATTTGTCTCTAACTTCTTTACATTTTGACAGATCTTTTGGGCACTTGTTGGGACAAATAAGAATCCCAACTACTTTCCTGAACCTGAAAGTTTTGATCCCTCAAGATTTGAAGGGAATAATTTTCCTGCTCCATACACTTGGATACCCTTTGGAGCTGGACCAAGATCTTGCCCTGGAAAGGACTACGTACGGTTTGTGGTCCTCAGTTTCATTCACGTTCTTGTAAGCAAGTTCAAGTGGGAAGCTATTCTTCCTGATGAGAAAGTTTCAGGTGTTCTAATACCTACCCCGACAGAGGGAATTCCTATCCGTCTTCATCCCCATTAAGCTCTCATGAGTGCAGATATTGCGATCAAGAAGAACTGTTTGAAAAAGAATAAAAATCTTTGGGTTGTGTAGATCGTAGTAAAGACAACAAATGCTCCAACAAATTGCAAAGTCTTGTCATTTTCTGGAAGGAAAAAAGTGATGTTGAGTAGCTAGCTATTAGCATTGAACAAGAAGTCGTAGTCCACCCGTACATGTAAAATCCTAATAAAAGATTTGTTGGTATCAGATCAGATCAATCAATGGCATGGTCCAGTTAATCCCGACCCACCATAATTTGACTGTTATTGAAAGCAGTGTGATTACATGATATTCATGGACAAGGAGACACTGGACCACAAATTCACACACCAAAAAGGACAACACAGAAAACGTAGGATAACCCGAAACTCTACACCATGCATGCATAATGACTAGTACCATTTAAATGGTCTTTGGGTGCATAAAATTTTAAATTTTAATATATACGATTATGTTCAATTGAGATAACATATTCAAGAATTAACAAGTGGTTAATCATTCGAAATTTTTTATTAATCACATTTAAATGATCTTTTTATTTTATTTATTTCTGTCTTTTTTTTTTTTTCTTCCCATCACTCTCTTCTTCAAAAGGAATGAAGATTTGAACGTTAAAATATTCTTTTTTACATATTATACATAGCTCGAAAGTAAACTATGAAAAAAATGCAATTAAGTCTTAGTCCCTTCGTGCACATCAAATCATGATATAATAGCTGTTCAAATAAATCAATTATATTATCTTAATTTGATAGGTACATTGGACAAGGAAATATGGACCACAAATTCATAAACCAAAAGAGACAATATAACGCCTAAAAGCATCTTAAATGCGACCTTTAGTTCGAATATTAAATCCAAAATTTAATTTTTACAAAATCTGGCATTAAAGAGAAAATAGGATTTTCATGATTGTGAAAGAAGAAGAAAAAGAGTATGAAAACTAAAAAAAAATATTTAAAATCTCAAAATGAAATATATAAAACAAAATTTAAATGACATCTTATACCCTACGCACATAACAAAATAATAATGTGAGATATCTCAAAATAAAATCTTTCATCAAAATATTGCACCCAAAAGTCTTAAACATGCATGCATGCATCCAAAAAGTCCTTAATTTTTTTAGAAAAAAAAGTTTCGCTTTTAGTTCTTAAATGCTTGGGTGATTAAAAATATATTTTTAAAATTTAAGATTTAATATTTAGTCTTTCAATTTTAAAATTACTTTTAATCTCGTCAAATTTAATATTTAAGGACTATTTTTTTTTAATTTTAAAAGAGTAAAAGAATTTTTTTAATATTTAAGAAATTAAAACTAAAATTATCCTAAATATAATAAAAATAATTAAACTTGTAAAAGATTTCTTTTGCATCAGGCATTTAGAAAAGGAATAATTTTTGAATTGCTGGTGAAGGAGAGGAAATGAACCCTTGGAAACAGTTGAAGACGCAAGTGATGATGGAAGAATGTTTGATATAATCCATTTGTATTAAGGTGTAAGAGGTGTAAAAGGTAATACACATGGCTGTAGGGATATGGAAGAGGTATAATAGAGCCTCAGCATTAATTATTGAATCATATTATGTGGTCAATAGATGTAACGAATGGACTACATGCTCCCTAAGAACAGATTCCTGAATGGCAAATCACAGTGGAGTAAAAGAAGAAAAAAATAATATGAACCCCTATTTTCTAAGATATAAATAGAAGTGCAGCTGACATGGATGCTGCAGGTATTGCTTCTAGTCTTCTGGTATTGTTAGAATTCCAAGTAATTCAACGCATTTCATTTGAAACTCCATAGGCACCACCATGAGATTTCTGCCATCTCCATGCAATCCTCAAACTCTGTTGAAGATCAGTGCGCTTAGCACTCCAATTCAGTTCACGTTTGATCTTTGTTGGGTCACTGTACACCTCAGCATAATCACCAGGACGACGAGGAAGGAAGTCTACTCTAATGTCCACCCCTGTGGCCTTTTTACAAGCTTCCACAAACTCCTTCACTGAACTACCTGATAAACATAACCCCCCATAAGAATCTTGAGACAACTGAGAGATGTGTTACTATAATTCAATGTACAAGGTCATTTGGTTTGGTTTGAGAATATGTTTTCTGTTTTTACTTCATCTAAACTGTTTAACTTACCCTTTCCGGTGCCAACATTGTAGATTCCAACTTTAGCAGGTTGTGCCTTTTCTAGAGCTTTCACATGAGCATCAACCAGGTCAGTAACATCGATGTAATCTCGTACGCAAGTTCCATCATCCGTCTTATAGTCTGTTCCTCTTACCTGCGAAGTGGCAGCACCCAATTAGCACACTGCAATTACTACATGAATGAACTTGATGTTACTAGACAAGTTTATGACATAATCATCTAGCCCATTTGAGCAAATGGTAAATAATAAGTATAAGAAATTAAGTTATTCTTGATGCTCAGGATTTCCAAGTAACCATAAAATTAAATGTTTAAGCTTACAACCTATTTCAATGGCCTTGTATGGCTAAATCCTTTTCAGATTTTCTTCAGGAACTTACAAACCTTTATCTTATATACCAAGCTTTCTGCATGAATGAAATGCAATTGCAGCAACCTCAACAGTTAAAAAGCAATAGCTCACAACAAATTTGGTAGGAAACTTAGGACTAAGCCAATATCCATGAATACTAAACCAGCTAGAAATTAACACATCACAACTCTTTAGTTTTTCACTTGCAAGATAAATATGAATATTATTCTACATATTTAAAAATCCAGTTAAACAATTATATTGCAGATTAAATGTATGGAAAAGAAAAAAGAATTTGTCAAGGTTTGATGGCTCTGCAAAATATTATGACTTAGGCTAGTTGCCCATATTGGTTCCTCTGAAAATTCACTTTACCCCTCTAATTTGGGGTATTCAGTGGGAAGGAGGAACTAGAGCTTACTTTTCTCCCCACTCTATGATATCTAAACAATGAAATGAAAACTTTATTCCATTTAAGCCCATTTCATTCCATTCTATTCCATTTATTTATCCAAACATAGTCTGACTTCTATAAAGAATTCCTTTATGGCCATGTAAGAAAAACATAAAAATTTAAGTATCAGTGTACCTTTAAACCAGGTATAATACCACGAGCAGCATCAAAGCAGGCACCTGATATTCGACCTTGCTCTCGCAGTTCAGGCCTAGGAGCCTCTCCCAATCTTCCTTCAGGGTCTGATCCAATCACGTTGAAGTATCTAGTGGTTTCCCAAAGAAAACTTATAAGTAATGACTACTAGCATGGATAATTCTAAAATATCTTAACTAATCCATAGTCATACCTCAAACTGTATATGTATTAATAGTTCAAATCACATGAGGTGGTAAGTTTTGTAAAGCCAACAAATCCAAATACAATATTTTTTGTGCATGTGTGTTTTCCCTATATAAAGGAAAATATCGGAGGAGCCCATAAAAATTTTCCAAGATGTACAGTCCATTGAGAAAATGGATCAACAATACGACCATGCAATCTGATATGTGGGGTGCTTAAGTACCACAGCGAGTAGTATGGGATACTTGGTGGAGTACCACATAGTAGGTAGCTTTTGAGGATGGGTTCCCCAAGTATTTGGATATATGTATCAATAATCGTATTTGGATATATGTATCAATAATCCAAACAACATGAGATGGGAAGTTTTGTAAAGCCAACAAATCCAAATACAATAATGTTTTCTTGTATGTGTTTTCAGCATATAAAGAAACACGCCGGAAGCTCCAGAAAATTTCCAATATGTGCACGGATTAAATGGATCAATAACACACGATCATGGAATCCCATTTGCAAGGGTTCCATATATTACAGATAAGAATCGCTTAAGGCACAATGTTTGCAACAAAGGGCACATGGACTAAGATATAAAAAGCAAATTAAAATGAAGGGAAATATGTAAATACAAAATGCAAACCTCAGGATCATTATTGCCATGTCTGAGTTTTTAGAGAAATCAAGGATGATATCTTCTGCCATCTTTTTGGCTTTCCCATATGGATTTATTGGGACCTATTTATAGAGATAGAACACCAATGTTAACACTAAGTCTCCTCAAGCAGTAAAGTCAATTCAGGATGCAATGACAAACATAAAATGTTCTCAACCAACCCCCATAATTCAACTATCCTTTGATCCCCACCTGCTCCGTTTCCTCTGTAATGGGCATCTTTGCAGGTTCCCCGTATGTTGCACATGTACTAGAATATATCAATGTCTTCACATCATGTTTAGCCATAGACTCTAATACCAACAAGGTGTTTGAAGTAATATTGTGATAATACCTGGCAAACATGAAAATTAAATTATTAATAAAGTAAAACCGAAATTGGTCAATCCAACCATAAATTACCATTCTTGTAACAACAAATTCCAAATCTCTTAACAAAATCATATCTAATGACAAGGAATAGCAATAGCAATACCATAATGCATCCTTAGAGTAGCAATAGGAAATAGGTTTACTAACCAATAATTTCCTCCAGATAAAAAGATGGTTTTAGAATGGTCCAACTTATTTTTCACTAGTCTGGTATTCATTGCGATCATTATGTCAGTAAGAACAACTACGGTCTGTCTTTGAAATTCTTATCCACAATGTTGAACAGTAAATAGAAAAATATATTATAAAAAATACGCACGTATGTTGCATTGCATCACACTTTGTGTGTCTCAATGCATGAATTTTATTGACAAAGGCAAGACCATAATAGAAATCTCTGTGTCAATTCAAATAATGTTTAAAATGTCAATGTGTATCTAAAAAGCTAATGTCATTTGTGGTACTTAGTGAAAATTAGAAACTGAACACAAGTGCTGCTTCCACAACTTATTCAGCTGAAATTCATGTGACCGAAAAAAATAATGAAGTGCTTACTTGAGAGGATCCATAGTGCTTTCTCCTACATATGCAACAGCAGCAAAGTGCATAACAGCATCAAATTTGTTCTCCAAAAATATTTTATTAACCTGATAACCAGTCAAATAAACAATCTTTCAAGGTCCTTCCCCCACTATGAGAAAAAAACAATAAAAAAAGTGTGAAGAAAGTATTTCAAGTAATAAACAGTGTAAGCGTACAGAATGCGGATCTCCCAAGTCAGCATAAATAAATTGAAGCCTTCCAGGTTCTGGAAATAATTCTTGAAGAACCTTGATGGCTCCCAAATTTCCTCGTGAAAGATTGTCCTGCCAGAAAAAATAAATGTTATGTCTGTAGCAATACACTGATCAGTGCACTTGGTATTAACGGAGAATCAACTTTTATGAATAGACATACTACTATGGTGACACGATGATTATCTCTCAGAAGTCTTAGAGAAGCATGTGAACCAATAAACCCTGCACCCCCTGTTACTAAAACATGAGTGACACCAGGCTCCCGGATGGAAAACTGCAAAGGAAGAAAGGAGAAACAAACAAAAAATAACACACTTAACAATAGCTAGATGAATAAAAGAGAAAAAGTACAGTTGACTTAGATACATAAAGTAGCAAGAAGATTGGGCTAGTGAACAAAGAAAATAATAACTAAAAAAGGAAAACCATATTACTGCTCTCCATGATTCCTCTTTCCTTTAATTTCATTCCATTTTTTCATCTCTCTTAAAAGAGTGGTGAACACCAGCTAAGCATTCCGAAGCTTCACTTGTTATCAGGATAAAAGGTTCAACATTCAACAATCTATAGTTTAAATTTTAAATGAATCCTTCAAATATGTAATAATAAAAAGGCCAAAGAACCTCAAACAGGATTTATGTACAAAACTGTCAAAAAAAGCTGTTGTTTAAGTGTTACCCAAAAGCCATTGCCTTCAGTTCTTCATACATTTCAATATTAACCACAAACAAGTAGGAAGATGGATACTTAAATACTTGAAAAAATTCAGTCAACCCAATACAGATGACAAATCTTTCAACAATGGTATAAATTTGATTTTATCCCGCTAAACTATGCAGTAGGTCTCTCAAATGTCAAAGGCCTAAAAAACATCTTAAGTATCTTTTATAAACTTACTCATAAACAATAAAATAAAATGTTTTATAGCTAACAAGAAAGCATTGTATTCATATGTATAACATGATTTATACCCAATCTCCTAAGTCTTAGTGTTAGGTACAAATGTATTATAACAACAACTACAATAAACAATATAATCTTATATACAGATACAGCAACAATAACCGATGCACCAACATATGTAGGTTTACTATGGTAATAGTGTGTCGCAGTGTAATGCTATCAATGGTATAAGGATTACCGGACTACTGGAATTCAATGATGGAGATCGCTTGATCATGATGATGCATAGTGTTGTTAATATAGCAGCAAGAAATACTTTCCCAACAAAATTGCCCTTCCTTTTTGGATCTGGATAATCCATGCCTAAAGGACAGAAAAAGGGAAACTACATTTTCAAACACCAATTATATGATAAGTGGAGAAAATAATAACAAACACTAAACAACTTACTGACATTGACAATTAATGCATTCACAAACACCTTATGTAGTCAATTATATAACTGCACTGCACCTAGTCTATCCTATAGTCAAGTATTACAAAAGGTAAGCTTTGCATTCCCGTTTTCAAATTTATTAATACTTTAAAGCAACCACGCTTGAATCGAAGGGGAAAAAATAAGATGTTGGTCATATCACCATTTGTGCTCAAATTTAGAGGACAGAGTTATACCTCCCATTGTTGTAGCTCTGGCTGTCCTTGTCTGATTTCTGGACGTGCCAAAATTTAGCATTTGCAGAATCCAAATCGTTTAGGGTGTAGAATGAGATCTTATTCCTTAATATCAATTATCAAATCAAGCTCCACTCCCGATATTCAGAGACATACTGCAGTTAAAATCACATAATTTGAGGCATTTCTCCTCTAGAATGGAGAACAACCCAAAGAAGTCAAAAACGAAAAGCCACCAAACAAAAATATAAAATCAAGCAAAGGATTGAACCTAAAAACACATCATAGTAAAAAAAAAAGTTAAAATTATAGCAAAATAGAAAAAAAGGAGGGGGAACCAAATTCAGCCAATGAAAACACGTAGAATTCAAAGCACAACATTTTTGCGAATGAAACAGAATCACTGAAATTGACCATCATATCAAAATTAAAACATTGCGAACCAAGGCATTCAGAATTCCAAGATCCACAGAAAAAAGTACAAAAACAGACCAATTAAAAATTGAAAGCAATCTCACATGCACAGAGCTAAAAGTTAGGCTCCGAATAACTCATTATTCATAGCATTACCTAAAGGCATGCACACCAAATTACTCTTCAAAGCATCAAACACGAAGGAAACGGGAAAAACGAATCCCCCAAGTGGACCACAATACCATTTAATAACCAATGAGAAAAAGACTAAAAACTTTGAAGAAACCCAGAAGACAGCACAATATCATGATCCAACACATGACAAAAGCGAACAAAAACCCATCATTAACCGTTTCAGCGGAGCCAAACTTCAAAACAACCCAACAGATTAAAATCCAGAAATCACACCAATAAAACAAGGAGAAATTCGAAGCTTAAGTATCAGAGAGTAAGCGGTTCATCAGAACGAGACCCAAAAGCGCAATCACAATTACCTTAAAGAGAAAGCAATGCAGAAAGAAATACACGAGCTTTCAGTACCCAAAGGATCTTAATAGAAGAAAAAAAATTGAAGAGATAAAAAGACGAGGAGAAAAATGTATAGGAGAAGAGACGGTGGAGAGAAAGATGTAGAAAATGGAAAGTGAGCAGCAAAGGAATATGAAAGGGGTCCAAGATTGAAGGGTGGTCTTGCGAGCCTTGAATATTGATGAAGAGAGAGAGTGGCGGAGAGTTCTGTGCGTGCAGTCCATGTTGTCGAAACGTTAGACGGAGAGAGAAAGAGAAATGCGACCCTTAATCAAAGGAACTACAACAACATCATCATCATCATCATAGGCCTATTTTGTTTTTCCTTCTTTCGTTAACCGCATTTCTTATAAATTTGATTTATTAAAAAACATTATTATTATTATTATTAAAATTTAAAGAGCAAAATATATCATTTTTCTGAGTTAATTTTTTTAGATGTGATAATTTTATTTAATTATTTATGTTTTATTAAAATTGATCTCAATCTCATAAATATAATGAGAATTTAGGAAAATTTTGTTTACATTAAACTAAAAAACAGCTTTTTGAGTATCCAATCATGTGCGAACAATAAGCGAGGACCGCGGGTAGGTGTTATGTAACTGCAACATGCATTGAATAATATAGGGCAGGTGTTTTTCCACTTTGGGACCTACGTGTCATTCTATCACCACCTTTTTCCTTCTTCATTTCAAATTATTAACATTTATTGTGCTTCTTTCTTTGTGTAATTTTGCATTCTTTTTATATATATAAAAAATGAAAATCTAGGAGGACTGAATTAAAAAATTTTAGAGAAACAAAATAAAATTGAATTACTAAAGTTTAGTAGTACAACCTCCATTGTTGACATCATAAGGAACTTGGTAAATAGTCAACAAAAAGCAGAAAACATTAGAATAAGAGGACTAGAAAATAATTAAGTTAGATTTAAAAATATCAAACACGTTAAGAGACAACTCAATTTGCCCCATATACATACATTTAAGCCTACTTTAATAAAAATAGCTAGGTGAGATGAAGTTAGGTATATGGTCACTTTTTGGTTTTGGTTAGAATATTAGTGTCCATAAATTTGCTTAAACTATGTACCACAATATTTGGTTGTGTTGGCATTTGTTAAAATTCTACACATCTCTATTATACTCACTTCACTATTCATTTATGTGGGAACATGCATGACATGATCACAACATCAAATCTCGTACAAGGTCATGTTTCCAAGAATTTTTCCAAAATATTTTTTTTATAATATTTAGAAATTATTTTTTAATTATTTTACTTAAAATGTTACAAAAAATTGGGATTTCATGTTTTGTTTTTATTACTTTCCAATTTGTCCATATTTTTTATTCTATAATTACTTTCTTCACCTTTCTGTACCTTTTTCCTATTCCAGAAAAAAAAAGGTACCATAAGTACGTTAATAAAGAATAAGTTTTTTTTTTAATTCGATTTTTTAATAAATAGTCACTTAACTCAAATCATTTCACAATAAAAAAATATATTTCATAATAAAAATACAAATAGAATTGTAAATCAAATATAATAACATATTTTTTAAAAGATATGCTAATATATATGTGTTAATGAATAATTAATCTCAAACATTAAACATTATAATTAATAATGAATCATTTAATTCAATTTATTTAATTTTTTATTTTAAACTCAAAATTCAAACAAAATCATATTATTTTGAGAAAAAAGCATGTCCAAATTATTTGAAAAAAAAAAGTTTTAACCAATTTTTGAATTTTTTTTATCAGTTCAATTTTGAATGCAGACAAATTAATACTGTAAAAAAATAAAAATGTGCAAGTGGTTAATAAAATTTCGTTAGTGAAGTAATAGATTAAAGGAGAGTTGCAGGGCATCTTTCTATCATTTTAATCAAACTTCAAAATCAACATTGATGATCAATTGTGGAGATAAAATAACCAATCATTTTACCTGAATAATGTATTACTGATAAAAAAATCTCACCGGTTGATTGAGGAAATTAAATGATGTGGAATACACACACTCTTTTTTCTTTTCTTTTCTTTTTTCTATTCACTCTTTTTCCCTTGGCCAAAAATCTCACCTCTGAACAATTTCTCAAGTAAACATTAAATCACCTCTGAACAATTTCTCAAGTACACATTAAATGCAGATCACAAATTGTTGAAATTTTTTCCTAAATTTATCTGCAACGTGCACTCTAAAGTACATAATTAAAAGAAAAATATTTGATGAATTGTTTTCAAGATAATATCCATATACGTCCAGGAAAACATGGCCGAAAAACTACACACTTTTTGTCAAGCTATTTTAGACAATTTGTTCATGACACGGTTGTTTCAGCCTTCTCATCCTCCAATTGCTTTAACTCCTTGCGCCAATCTTCTAGTTTTGCTAGTTTTTCCAATTGCTCTGGATTCAGATCTTGCTCTACACTTTTCTGCTCCAATGCTTCTGTAAGTCGAATCTGAATATAACAGTCAAAAAATTAGGCTATGAAAAATGTAAAAGCATTATTTGAGATATTCCTTTAGTAAGGCAGAGAATAAAAACACATGTACAATGATGAGTAATAATTTGAGGTTCTGGACATTTGTCACTAATAAAGATTCATCTTGTGCACATTTATTTAACAAGACAATCAACTGATGCTTGATAATTCTTCAACTAGACAACAGAGAGATAAAATATTAGCCACAGAAAGTTATAAGCCAGCTAGATTTTTTAGAAGTAAAATGTCCAATGCTCAAAAAGAACAGAAGATTCCAACGAATTCCTTACTAAAAACATTCACTTTTTTCAGCAGTCTACCCATGACAACACTTTTTGCTGAGTCAACGTCAATAACAACATTGAAATTCATCTCAGTATCTTACTGCCACTTACAACGAGTGAGATAATAGCAAGGATCCATACTTGTAGTCAAAACAAACAAAGCTACTTAGAAATAAAATGGGACTAGTGAAACCTTTGCATCACCAATATTGTGTTTGTACAGAAAGAAAATGTAAACAGCAAGCCAAAGAGACTACAAAATGCAATAAAGCTCTTCTTTTGTCCAATAATAGAGAGCAAGAAAGCTCTCCAATCTTGAAGGGCTTCGGTTATAAATTCTTGAGACAGGAGTAACAGACACAAAATAAATCCTACACCACAGCACATACAAGGCAACGAGAGATAAAGCCTTGGACATATGGACAATCTATGCCAACATACCCATGCTACAATCAACTCAAATATTCCTCATTCATGAACAATACTAGATAGACAACAGTGCCATAACCTATGATCACAACCTCTAACATGGACACCAGATACAAAATTGGACACAGTTAACTTTCAAAGAAAAGAACACCAAACAGACATAAACATCACAGTCTAAATTTCAATTGCACCATTTTCTTCATCAATATTCTTATTTTCTATACATTAATCAATAAAGGCTAAATACAATTTATAAATTTATACTACTTACAGCTCCATTAATTCTACTATTGCATGTTCAATAGAGAGCTGAGGGATAAATTAGCAGGAAAGGCCATAACAGCACACTGAAAAAACAAGGAACCAAAGGTCAAAATGCTTCATACACTTTAGGACATTTTTGCCAAATGGAAAACTCTGTTACTTAAAACTAAGAGCTTACATATTGTCTATAGGAGACAAACAGGGAGAAACGCAAATAAGGGAAATGTTTTCTGGACACTCCAATGTCATTTACACCTAGAGATAAATAGAATAGAAAAGAATAGAAGAGAGATAAATGTAATGGGTGATACGCCGAGATGTGTTACAGAGTAATTGAATGTGCTATTAAGAGTCCATATATCAATGCTATTAGAAGAGATAAACATGTATTTGTAATATTAAGAGTCCATATATCAATGTTCTCAAATATACAAGACGCATAAGAAAAAAAACGAAATCAAAAGAAATATGAACAGAAGATCTACCAACATGTCAGGGTGACATGGTTGACATGTGGTTGTTTGATTTCCATTCCCGTTTGCAGGGAAAATGTAAGTTAATTAGACTCTAATTTCAGACTTTTGGTTGTAAATATCCAAGTCTAGCCAAGAACAACATTCCAAACTCCACGGAGTAAAACAGGATCTAACATATAATAGAAATATAGAAATTTGAATGAGGTAAAATGTTGTAAGCGAATCAGGAGAATTTTCTTGTCTCGGACAATGACACCATTCCCTTCCCTTAAATTTTTCTATAGCATTCTTATTTAACTTTATCTCAATTAATATATTTCTTTACCAAAACTTATATTTAGCTGAATCAGAAATAAAGGCGTCACAATTTCACAAAGCCGCCAATCACTCCAAACACAAAAGCAATAAAAGCATAAATGGCGCACCTTCTTTTTGAGCGTTCGAATTCTCTTGTCTATGTCCTGGCCTTGTTGCGTCGAATCTTCCAAAGACAAGTTATTTACCTGCGAGTTCAATGCCTCCAAAGATTCTTTCTTCCCACTATCTTCACTCGCACCACCTTCTAAATTTTTATCCTTTTCAATCGCAGCCTGCAAGAACCCCATAATTCGCATAAAAATTAATCAATTAAATTAATTTATGAGAAGAATTAATTTTCCATTACCTGGAGCCGCTTCTCCTTCTTTTTCTCGTTCCTCTTGACGGACTTGGTCCTGGGCCGCGCAACGGGGTCGGGATTGTACCCGGGAGGCCCGGCGGAGCCCATCTCCTTTTTCAACTGCAAAGAGAGGAAAAGGAAGGAATGAGAAACAGCTTCGTATGGAGAGAAATAAAAAGGGAAAGAAGGGAACGGACGAGGGCGGGCTTGGGCTGATAAATTGCGACTTCGTCCTGAGGAGTGTAGCCGGCACGGATGCGGATGGGCTTTCGGAGGGTTCCGTCGGGCCGTCTTGTGGGGCCCACGAGCCTCTCGCCTTCCTTGAGCGTTTTGGTGAGCTCCTCTATTTGCTTCTTCCTTTCTTCGTCGCTCATCTTTGTCTTCTTCTTCTTCTTCCAACTAAGCAGTGCGAAGAAACAGTCTCTCCCTCTTGCTATTTGATTCTGTGATTCACTTCCAACACAACACTAAGACTAAACTAGAAACATATATTACTACCAACTACTACACCTTAATAATTAATAATTTAATAATTATAAAGTAAATTTAATAAGAAATTATCTTATTCTTATTCACAATGTTTTCAACATACCCCTTCCATTTTTTATTAAAATATCATTTGAATCGATTTTAAAATATCAGACAAATCAAATTAATAATTTTGTTGTTTAATTTAGATTATTTTTCTGATTTTTTTAATAAAATTATTAATATATTCTCATAAAATAATTATTAAATAATATATTGTAAAATATAATTTTTAATTAATTATAATATTCATAATTTTAATTTATTTTTTATAATTCTATATTTAATAATAATATTACTATTTTTTAAATCATAAAAAATTAAATAATCATTATTTTAACATTATATATTATGTTTCACTGTGAATTGATTCTATTAAATTAAAAATTAATAAAATTAATTTACTTTAAAAAATTTGAAAAAAAAGTTAATTTTTATTTTTTGTATTAATTCGATTTTAAATATCCTTATTTATTGTATTATATACTAAATGTATTAGTTTTATCCTAAATTTCTTATTTTAAGTTAGCTTAGATCTAATTTATAAAAATAATACAAAATATGTGTATGTATGTTGTTTTTATAATACATGAATGATTTTTTTTTTTTTGAAGTCCTCTATGTTCAAATTTATTAATAAAATTATTAGCTTATAAAAATATAATTGTTTAATTATATGACATAATTTTTTAAACTATTTTATTTTTTATTTTTTTTTCAATAAAATTTCTTAATTATAGTTGGATTTTTTTATATGTAAAATAAACTCTCTTTTTCTAATAAACATGTTACTTTTAAGTGTGTTTTTTATTGCAATTTTATGAAAATAATTTAAAATAAAATTTTATTTAAAAAATGTTGTAATCATAACTAATAGAGAATTTACATAACCTATAATTCTCATAGGTATATAATTTATTATAATTACAACTAAAAGGAAATACACATCAAGTATAGTTTACACCGAGAGACTATTTTACATAATCAATTTAGAAAAACATTTTTTATTTTTAATATATAATTAACTTTTTTTCTACCGATAAATAAAAGATATTTTTTAAAAAAATTTACAAAGTCTTATCCTCACTAAAATATTATCAACTTATGCACAATTAAAAATAATTCATACAAATAAAACTGTTTAACAATATAAATTCATCATATTATTTTTGAAACAACAACACATGCATATATATATATATATATATATATATATATATATATATATATATATATATATATATATATATATATATAAATCAATGAAGATTTAAGCATCACATAACTAGATTGTGTTACATAGATTATTTATTTGAATCCTTACATAACTTTTTCAGAAGATATATGGATCATAATAAAATGATTGAATAATTATGTAGATATATGATCTCTACTAAACTCAATCCCATTTCATAAGCAAACACTACTCTTACTAAAACACATCCATAAACAACCTCTAAAATGGCAGCAGAATGTTAATGGTTAAGAAAACAATTAAGGAACTCTCAGCTCTAAAATTACCATCACACTCATGCATTACTACTGATTCAAATAATCTCAGAACACAACACCAACTTGAGGAACATAAGTCTTCGACAATGCTTATAAAAGGTTTGAATTCAACAGGTTCAAAACATCCAAAAACAACATGCCCCTTTAGAGGCGTGCAGATTCTCAAGGCACGGTTTTAACATGTTCACGGAGGATACATAAATTAACCCTTCTGTGCAGAAGTATCATGCATCTGGTTTAAGAAGAACACATCCAAGCCCTATTTCATCACTAGGTATGAAGTTGTTCACGTTATTCAACAGCAAGACCTCTTCTGAGGTTGACTCGTGACTTTCTGACATCTTGAGAAGTTGCATATGGAACCTCTCCATTGGTGTTATGTCCTTGTACACCACCTCTGAACGTTTCCTGGTAGGGATCTTAGTGCTCCATAAACGTGCTCTTTTTCCATCTAAGAATAGTTACTAACAGTTAGAAATATAATAAGCTTCTCATACATAAAATTCAGAGTACAAGGAGATCTTTTTCTACCCTTCAGATTTTTATCAAAGTACTCAGGTTGAGTATGTTTGGGCAGATAGTCCTCAAGTCCATGGATTCCCCTTTTCTTGTATCTTGATCCACAAGCATTGCACAATACGGGCTTGTCTTCTGGTCCATTACGCCACAGTGGAGTAACTGATGAAACCATTTATATATACATTATTGGTGACTATAACTCTAGTAATTGGTTAAAAGATGTTTCAGACAAAATAATTTGCATAATATAAGAATGAATTAAAAATACCTACCTTCTTCTCTGTAATAAATAATTATTTGACCCTGATGGTTTCAAGACCAAAAAAGACAAATGCTAACAGAGAGGAAAACAATGTTGAAATCAAATAAGTTCAGCTTCAAAGTTTCTTAGGTTGACTCAACTACAATCTCTTGTTTAAAACTATTTTTTATAACATTCAATCTACCTGCCTAATCAATATTAAAATAACTAGGTAATTTAAATTCTCGTACCTGGAGTATTTGATTCCATAGTAGACAATTTCTATGATGTATTTCATAACTCTTTTTGTTTCCTTCAAGGGCAATTCACTAACATAGTACATGAATCTTGATAGCACATTTACTGAAATAAAATGTCAGAACCTTTTGCTTCCTTTTGATTCATAGGAGTGTTCACTATTCTACATTTCTCCAGCTGAATCTTCTTTAGGATCTCCTTTACATACTTTTTTTTTTACAATCACATTCTTCCTCTAAGTAATTTCCATGTCCAAAAAATAGGTCTTAAAAGATAAAGATTGGTCATCAAAGATATTCTTTGTTTCTTGCTTGAATTTATCTATTAATGGTAGGTGGCTTCTTGTCACCAAATGATCATTAACATATGAAGAAATTATTAAAATATCAAAAATCTACATGTTCAAGGTAGAGTGTAGCTTCGTTTGAAAGCCTAAACTCAACAAATGATTATTAATTCTATTGTATGATATTCTAGGTATTCACATTGAGCATTTTTCAGCAAATAGATTTATCTTTTGTCTCTTTGATAAAAATAAATAAAAAAAAAAAAATCTTCTAATTGCTTAACATGAATCTCCACCTATAAAAAACTACTGAGAAAAACTTACTTAATATCCATTTGAAACACTTGCCACTTTTTTGTGCAATAATGAAAAGTAGTAATCTTGTGTGCTATTAGAGCAAAGATATATATATATATATATAATTGATTTCAAAATTTTGAGAATAAGCCTAGATAACAAGCATTGTTTAGTGGTGGTTTAAAGATAGATTTAGATTGAGTTTTGTTTAAAACACTTAATTCACCAATATGATATTTTTGTCGTGAAGTAATGAAACCAACACCTAAGTTTGATTTTTCTAGATCATTGACATCTCCTCGTTCATTGTAGACAATCATTTATTCTTCATAGTGGTTTCTTCAAAACTAGTTGGTTTACACATAATTATATTACACACTTTTAGATTATTTCTTTGGTCAATGTCGACAAACAACCTTTTGTCAGATACAAGTGTTTCATCTACTATATCTTCAAGTTTCACTACAACATTACAAGCTCCTTTGAGTCTAATACCATTCGCATCCTCCATCAAGGTACATCTCTTCTAAGAATTTTTATAGTTAAAGGCTAAAATATCCTATAAGCTTTAGAATTATTGTAGTTTATACATATTTCAGGTTTAACTCTTTTCCCAAGCTTAACCTAAGATACATGTGAGAGCAGCATAAAGAACAAATATTTTTAAAATCAAATCAGACATCAAAAGAAGTTTGATTTTGTACAACTTGCACAACAATTATATTTTAAATAAACATAACTATATTTGTAAGAGACTAAAATTTCTTTGGTAATTCTTTTAGAAACATACACTTAGTCATCTTCATAATTGATCTATTTGTCCTTTCACTTACTTTATTTTGTTGGGGAATGTAAAGAGTCATCAATTGATACTCCAATATTCATCACAATTGTTGAAACTGATTAACTTTGTATTCTTTTCATTTTCAAACTTCAAAATTTGAATACAACAATTGTTTTGATTTCCAACCAGTGTTTTGAATTTCAAAACACCACAACTATTTTTGACTTGTATTCAAGCAAGTCAAACAAATTTTCATTAGGTTATTAATAAAAATAATATAATAAAAACATTTTTTTTAGTGATGGAGTTATTTGTGGTCTAACAACATTAGTGTGAACAAGCTGCAATTTTATCCTCCAACAATGCTAGGGAAATGATTTTCTTATTTGCTTCTCAAATTATAAGTTACACATTCAACTAGCTTTTTTTTTTATAAAGGGAGAAACTCTACAAATAAGTTGATTTTTTTTATCACGTAGTTCATTCTCAATTTTAGAAATGGCCTAGTCTTTTGTGTCAAAGATCAATTAGAGTTGCTATAATGAGAAATACAACATGTTCCTCCTTCCTTAGAACAAATAAAAAGTATATTTCCTTATCATGACTAATTTCAAACTTTGTTATATATTTAATGTGAAGCTTTTATCTTGAAAGATAACTTTGAACCATTTCTCAAGTAGCTACCCAACATTAAACAAGTTTTGGTTAATTTCAAGTACATATAAAACATCAGAGAGGGTATTTGAACCTATGTAGCTTGTTATAGTTATTGATCCCTTGTCTTTTGCTAGAATGTGTTCATCATTCCAATTTTGACCCATTTCACTTCCTTGTCCAAACATTTGCACAATTCTGTGTTATAGGTCATGTGGTTGATGCAACCATTATTTATCAACCAAGAGTCACTTGAACTACTACTAGAAAAATAAGTAGCAAAAAAGAGTTTATCTTCATTTTTCTTGTACATTTTGTTCATCAACTACAATTTGTTAGATATTTATTTTGCAAATTATACATTTGTATTTGATTTGAATATATTTACAGTACTTCACATCAAGTCTCTTCCAACATCTGAATAAAGAAGTATCCAGTTTTTCACACTTTTGACAAGGTAAGTAACTTTTCTTTTTACCCTCGCCTCTCTGGTTTAGATGTTTATTGTATTCTCGTTGTTAGTAGCTCTTAAATAAATTATTTATATTATATCTAATATCATGATGTTTGGATGGAAATGCATGGTAAGGAAAATGGATGCAAAGGCCTAAGAGGTTGACCACTGTGTTGGATTAGAGGAAATAATCACGAATGGACATGTGGCAAGAGGCATGGAATGCATGACGAAAGGAAAAGATGCATGATTTAATGCTTATCTAGATCTAATGTTTTCCCACATAGATTTCCTTTACTTGTGCTCTTGAACTTAAATTTGGATCTTCACCATATGAATGTCCTCGATCATATCTATTTAAGTTAACTCAAGATGGCTCAATCCATGATAATTATATGAAATTCATTGCTCTTGTAAACCGTGTGCAAGGGTTACCGGTGAAACCTTGTTAGATTATTTTTTTGGAAGCTTACAACAAGATATTATGTGTTAGCTCAAGCCTTACCACCACATTAATGCGATATATTTCATTAGCCAAACTGTATGAGAAAAAATATGCTACCAAACCAAACACAGGCTTCAAATACCATACTAAACCCCAAACACAAGTTACAAATATTAGTCAATCCTCCTCCCAAACCCTTAATTATAATATCCTACCACCCTTACTTCCTAAACCTATCATAACACCTCCTTCCAAAAATGCTACTATAAACAATATCTACGATTAAAATGTAATTACGAAGGGAAAAAGACCTATGTTTCACTTATGATGAGAAATTTAATCCCTCTCATAGGCGTCCTAATAAACAGTATTTATGGCTTCAATTAGATGAGGAAGATAACTTTAGTGACCAAATAAACTCTCCGGTTGAATTTAGAGGAGATAATACTCAAATTGTTTGTCCAACTCATTTATAAAATGCCTTAAAGGGCTCTTCTGGTATTGGAATTGTACTATATTAGTAGTTCTCAAGATAGTCCTACACTTGGGAGCCTGAAGTTACACCACCAATCGTAGGTACATAAGCGTTACCAAACATAAGGTAAGGGATTCTCTTCTTCACAAGATAGATATTTATCAATATATCTTGCATCAACTGACTTGAGCGTCAGAGTGTTTTCCTTTCTTCACACGATACCGAGAACTGAGTACCAGACACTAGTAAGACAAAAAGGAATGACAAAGAAGAGAATCGTACGAAAGAACAATGGACCCATTTTATGTTTGGTCTTATAAGAACAAGAATAATGAGATTTTAAGGACTTATCAATGGTTTTCCTATTTCATTTTATTTTATAGTGGGAGTTCATTCTCTTTCCTTGTCATTTTGGTGAAAAAGAAAGATGGAACCTTAATGTTTTGCACTAATTATATGGCCTTAAATGCTATGATAGTGGAATATAGTTTCTTATTCTCATAGTTGATGAACTAATCGATGAGCTTCGTGATGCTCAATATTTTTTTCAAAATGAATCTTAAGTCGGGTTATAATCATATTTCTTTAAGTGTATATTCGACAACACGATCTTCTATTTTTGTCCTTGGATCTACCGGTCATGTAGCTCTTTAGCAAATTCTTTAATTTCTTTAATGATGTTATGAATATTTCATATCTCTTAGTCATTCTATCACTAAAATTTTTTCAATAACTATGAAATCAATAAAATCACTTGTCTAGCAACTTTATCTTTTAAAAATATTTAACAATTTATTTGAGTATTATCTCATTATCTTATATTTTTTTCTTTGTAATTTAAATTCCTTTGTTAAATTAAGAACATGCATACTACTATTCTATAATTTTTATTTTTATTTTGTCTTTTAGGTCATGGTGAGATTGTGTGATATCATAAAAACATCATACTCCTATTCTATAAATTATTTTAAAATAAAAAATTGCCTCTAAAGATGATTTCATTCTTACTCCTTAGAGATCATAATTTTCCCCATCAAAGAGTTGGGCATAGCTTGGGAACAACTTGTTTCCCAATCATGTAAAACAATTCCTCACAAAAGGAGTTCTAATACTATAGGAAGAAATATCATTCTTCCTATAGTTTTGTGTTATTATAAGAAGAAATTTCATGTCTTGAATGTTATCGTAAAATATCATTCTTCTTCTTTCTCAGGGTCAGTGTATATAATTCAAAAGTATCTAGTCTC